GAGATGTCTCCACTGGTACGGAGTTCCATTTAACGCACCCTTTCAGCGTCTCCGTAGGAACAGCTGTGAATCGTCCGAAGTAGTGACGGTACTTGTTGACACAAGTTCACCTCTCGGTTGGGCTCACATGAGTTGTGAGTCCGTCAGAGTTCCACTCAGATGTGGAAGATTGCATAATTCCCACGAGACTCGGAAGAACTCCGGATCATGTCTGAACTCCAGTTCTCCCAGCACTTCTTGTGTTCGGTTTGCTCTCCGAACCGAACTCGACCGGGCTCGACTGCTCTCGACTGAACGAACTCGTTTGAACTAGGAAGTGCCGACATTTAAAGAGTTCTATTTCCGGTTCATTTGGGAAGTCCCTGATTGGTCAATGGACCAGACAAGGGTGTGTTTTTGTGACGTAAGAGGTCACTAGAAGTCAGAAAAACAGCAAGAATGTTTTGGAACAGATTGAAAATGTTTTAGAGACAGACGAGAGAAATGTTTGGACGAGTTGGGGGAAAACAGGTGCCAGCTTCTCTATTTACGTCTGAGAGGATATAAAAACATGACAGTTCGTTCCAACAACTTGTCTTCGACCTTTGACCGACATCACAACTTGCTCATTTCAGACAGAAGATCAGAAAATGCATGAATTACTCCGTAACACATTCCAATTTGATTTCTACTTTGAATGAGGATTAAAAGTCATTATTACTGTTTCACAGTTGATTTAAAAATGAGTAGTTCACTTCAACATTTGAAAATGGTTTGAACTAAACACAATTTAATTATCAAAACATTTGTAAAATAGTAATGATAATAAAAAAGAGTGTTCTTTCAATTGATCAGTGCAGGACAAGAGAAAGTCTCTGGATGAACTTAATCTTGTGTTTCTGGACTCAAATCAATGAAATACAGTTCTTGTTCCAGGAAGGCCCCCAAGGCCAGATTTTGACCTGAGGCTTAGTTCACTACACACCCATTGTTGCCAATCTCTACATGGAGGAAGTGGAACAGAGAGCCCTAAACTCCTATGAGGGAACAACGCCAAGCCATTGGTTACGATATATGGATGATACCTGGGTCAAAATCCAAGCCAAGGAAATAGAAGCGTTCACCAGACACATTAACTCGGTCGATAAAAACATCAAGTTCACCAGAGAGGATGCAAACGACAACAAACTGCCTTTTTTAGACTGTTTGGTTCAGATGGAGAGAGAGGACAGCCTCAACATTGAAGTTTACAGAAAACCAACCCACACAGACCAGTATCTTCCGTTTGACTTCCACCATCCACTGGAACACAAACTCTCTGTCATCAGAACTCTACAACATCGGGCCGAACGCGTCCCCACGAAGACAGAAGGGAAGGAAAAGGAACAGAAACACATTCAAGAAGCTCTTCAAACATGTGGATATCCATGTGGATATGTGGATGTCACATGTGGATATCCTAACTGGGCTTTTGTCAAGTCAGTGAGGAAATCTACAAAACACACCAATAAACTGAAAAAGGAGAACAGCAGACGTAAAAACATTGTCATCCGTTATGTTGCTGGAGTATCAGAGAAATTCAGAAGTGTAGTGGACTAGGCCCATGTCAAAACTGACCAGATGGACAGAGACTGTTATTTCATTGATCTGCATCCAGAAATACAGTTTGAGCCATCTGGAGACTTTCTTTCTTGAAGTAATCAAGTAGAAAAGACAATTCTCTATGATCATTACTGTTTTACAAATGTTTGATAATCAAATTGTGTTAGTTCACTCAATGTTTACAGGTTGAAGAGAACTACTCATTTTATTTACATAAACAGTAAGTAATGATTTTTATTCCTCATTCAAAGAAGAAATCAGGTTAATATGCATTTCTTGATTTTTCTGTCTTCAATGAGCAAATTTGTAAGTATGTTAAAGTTCAGGCTTCGGTCAACTAAAATGTTTACTGAGAAGAAATGTCATGTTTAATCTTTACAGCAGATAATCAGAGTAGAGGCTCCACGAAGTCTCGTTTTCTCCAATAATCTTTCTGTGTGTTTTAAACAATCTCATTCTCTGCCCTTGACTTTGATAACACCTTACATCACAAACCACACCTCTGATCTGGTCCATCCACCAATCAGAAAGCTCTAAAATGACCCGGAAGTCAACTCATTTAAATGTGGCAACTTCCCGGTTCTCGCCAGAGTTAAAGAGTGAAAGAGAAAAAGAGTTACAAAGAGTTGCAGTTCTCCTGGAGAAGAGAGATGAAAAACTCTCTGATGCAGTTCATGGAGAAGAGTTCCAGAGTTTAACTCTCTGAAGAGAGTTCTGAAGGAGTTCAGAATTCTGACATTCCAGGATGCAGAGAGGATTTTGGGAGTTATGACTTCTGTTTGGATAACCTCGCACGACTCTCTAAGGGTTTGGCTGTCCTCATGGAGACGCTGAAAGAGTCAGAAAGGAACCCTACGCCGACGCTGATTTTATCATCAACCAGGTAGAAGGTTCTATTTTCGACCAAGTGTACCGTGGCCAAGCTGATTCCCCAAAGAGCGTGTGTTCTGGTCCCACAGATAAACTCCCTCACACATCTCTCTGTAAGATAAATCTCCATTTTCCATCTTAAACTCTCCTTTCTCCTAAAATCATTACAGATATTTTAGAAATATCTGAAGCAAAGTTCTCAATCACCGCCGTGTGATTGATGTCTGTTGTTCTGCTGAGAAGTGAGGACAATCGCCGTATTGTCCACTTTCTGTGAACTTGAAATTGTTATTGTTTTCATATTTTGCCAAATTAATGTAAATGTTTGATGTTAAACTTTGATTCTGCAAATAAATGACCGCATTCATTTGATGGGTCAAAGATAAAAACGTCTCTCTTTCGCATTTCTGTTAAACTCAACGCACGACATTTACACAGTCAGAAAGATGAAGAACTCGTGAAAAATGTATGAATATATCCAGCATATGTCATACTACATTTGGTGGCCCGTTACGTGCTCATAAATGACTGTGTATTTCGTGTAAAGATTGTTTTTACATGTTGGCATGAGGAAAAGTAACAGTTTATCAGCTGTGCTGAAACGCAGCTCAAGCTGCGCCGCTTTGAAGTCAAAACGCTGCATGTTTTAAGCGTGTTGGGCTGTGATGCTTGGGAGCTCACAGAAAGCTGAAATAGTGTCATATGTCTTGTGAAAGCTGAAATTGTACGCCTGTTATGTGTAGCTAAGCTGATGAGCTGTGGAAAACGTTATTCTGTTTAAACTGTGGTCCAAACGGACGGAGGTTCTGTTGGTCCGGCTCGGTTCTGAAAAAGGTTCGGACGAGCTTTTTTTAAAATAGCTAGAAAGACGTTTTTGAGACCGGAGTAGCAGACTCCGTACAGCTCAGAGTTGATTCGTTACATTTTTTAACAGAAAAAGTGCATTTTGACAGTTTAAAAGACGAAAAGTTGACAAACTCATTTCATGCTAATCTATCATGCTAGTTGCTGAAATGTTTTGTGATTGGTGGAATTTTGCTGCTGTGGAGCGCTCTGGTATGGGTATATATATTTATGGAAACTTACTGCAAAGCCATGAATATTTTAAGTTCTTTATACATATGTATTTTGTTGCTATGTTTTGTCATGTTCTTTGCAGGTGAACAGACAGTGGCCGGGTGTTTTGACGTGTGCTCTATTTGTATATATTTCTTATATTTTGGAGTCTTACTTTGTCTTTTCTTTCTTTCTATCCTATTGGTAAAAAAAAAAAAAAAAAAA